GATAGATTTATATAGATTTTTATATATTTACATAAAATTTATCATATATTTATTATATTACCCATGTTCTTGGCTAGATGTTTGATCATGCATATTTGTTGCAAAGAATTTGTTTTGCTTTTCTCTTTTTTCAATGGGGTACAGATGGGAGGTAGAGAAAATAGATTTCTATTAACTAAAAAAAACCAAAACAAAATAAGAGAAGTTCTGTATGTGTGTGGTGGGGCATTCCTACAGATGTAGAATGTTGTGTGTACTTTCAGATGAGGTCACTGTGTCAGTTTTTCTTACTTGCTTTACTTTGTTACCAGAGTCTTCTTGAGGAATCAGGGCAACATGTAAATGCTTTAATGTAAAAACAAGTACTACATATCTCTAGTACTACATATCTTTTGCTACTGTATTTAAATTGTTAAATTTCATAAGTTGCACTGTCTACCAATTGATTTTAAGTAATTTTTATTTACAAATCCATTATAAAAAATTAATGGGTAAATTTATTGATTTGTCCAGAATGCTCTTCCATAAGGACTGGATGACTGTGATTCTCTCCTACCACCTAGTGGCAGCATATAAATATTGCAGGGCAAATACTATTGTACAGTGGCTCTCAACGGGATCTGTAGATTCTTGGGAGTCCCAAAGACCTTTTTGAGGGGGCTCCCAAGATCAAAATTATTTTAATGATAATAATACATTTTCATAATAAATTAATAATAACCAAGATTTTATTTAACCCATACAGATTTAAGAGTGTTGAAGGGAGACCAGAAAATTTGAGAATCGATGATGTAATTATACCAAAGTGGAATACTGTTAGGGGAGATTTACCCCTAATCAAACCATTACTCCAGCAGGATAGCTCTGTGACATGTAGTGGCAGCTCAGTGTTTTATATCTTTGCTATTCTACTACTTTCTCTCTACCAGAGGACTAAAATAAGACTTCCTTCTCCTCTGACTTGAGGGGCAGTGTGTACAGTAGAAATTATGCTGGATTGGGAATGAAAGGGTCTAGGTTCAAACCCTAACTGTGCCATGTACTCTTTGGATGACCTCAGGCAAGTCATTTAACCATGAATGGCCTCAGTTTCCTCATCTGTAAAATGAGAAAATTGTACCAGAGGGCCTCTCAGGTCTTTTCCAGCTCTAAATCTGAGATCTCATACCTTAAGGAATTTTTAAAAGTGACTGTTTGAATAGAGACATCTGTCCCTCTGGTCTGTTCCTTCAGAAGTGGTTATAAGATAGATAGATTTTTAAAAATAAAACATAAAAAAATAGAAAACTGAACAGATGTTAACTTGTTTTATCAGAGGTAGTTAAGATGAATATATAGAAGGAAGGAAACAAGCATTTATTAAGCTCCCACTATGTGCCAGGCACTGTGCTAAGTGCTTAACAGATATTATCTCATTTGATCCTCCCAACAACCCTGGGAGTTACTATATGATCTCCATTTTGCAGTTGAGGAAACTGAGGCAGACAGAGGTTAAGTGACTTACTCAAGGTCACACAGCTAGGAAGTATCTGAGGTCACATTTGAACTCTCATTTTCCTTGTTCTATTTACTGTCATTTAGCTGCCTCTATAGAAAATGTGCAGATAATAGCACAAGACAGTTGATCAGATCCTAAGTAATCACTGAGTTGGAATAACCTTGATGACATGTAGTCTAACTCTCCTCATTTTTACAGATGAGAACACTGAGATCCAGAGAGATTACATGATACGGATAGAGTGCTGGTCCTAGAAGACTCGCCTTCCCAAGTTCAAATCTAGCCTCAGACAGTCTTAGCTGTGTGACCCTTGGCAAGTGCCTCAGTTTCCTCATCTGTAAAAAGAGTTGGAGAAAGAAAAGCAAAAAAAAATGGCACTCCAGTATCTTTGCCAAGAAAACATCATATGAGGTTGCAAAGAGTTGGACACAACTCAAAAATTACTGAACAAGTTTACATGAATATTAAAAGTATCAGGGCCAGGATTCAAAGCCAGGTCTTCTAAAATTCAAATCCAGCATCCTTTAGAAAATTACATGCTGCAAGGAGGACTGTGAAAGTAGTAACTCAGAAAAGATAAGGGGGCTGCACTTTATAACAATAAGAATAGCTGGCATTTTATGTAGAGCTCTAAGACTTGCAGAGCACTTTACAAACATCTCTTTCAGTACTCACAATAACCTTTTCAGGCAGGTGCTATTATTATCTTCTTTTTACAAATGAGGAAACTAAGGCACACAGAGGTTAAGTGACTTGCCCAGCATCATACAACTAGTAAATGTCTGAGGTCACATTTGAACTCGGGTCTTCTGGACTCTAGGTTCAGTACACCATCCCCTGTGCTACCAGCTGCCTCTAGTGATCTCTAAGCTCCCTTCCAGCTCTAAGATGCTAAGGGAGAATTGTATTCTTGTTACAAGATCATAGATTAAGAGTTGGAGAAGTCCTTAGAGATCAGCTAGGGCAACCTTCTCATTTTACAGATGAGAAAACTGAGTTTCGTAGAGATTAAGTGACTTGTCCAGGGGTGAGGAATCTGTGGCCTTGAGGCCACATATGGTCCTCTAGGACCTCATGCCCCTTTGACTGAATCCAAACTTCACGTTCTGTGAAGTTTGGATTCAGTCAAAGGGCCATACTTGAGGACCTAGAAGGTCACATGTGGCCTTGAGGCCGCAGGTTCCCCACCCCTGCTTGTCCATGACCACACACAGGTACAGGATGTGAACCTAGATCCTTTGATTTCAAATCCACTGTTCTTTCCATGGCATTTAGGTTCAATTTTTGGCTAACAGTAATATAAATAATGCTTTACATGTATCATTCTCTGGTGCAGCTCTTGGACTAATCAGTTCCTCCAGTCCTGCTGCTGTCTACAGATGTTCAGGACATTCTTCTTGCTTCCTTAATGCATTCCATACCCAGTTCACAATTTTCCTCTTCTCCCTAACCCCTGCCATCATCCTCCCAGTCCCTCAGGCTCACAACCTAGGTGTCATCCTTGCCTCCTCACCAGCTCTCGCCCTCTATATCTAATCAGTAGCTGAGGCCTGTCAATTTCACCATTGCAACATCTCTTGAATACACCCCCTTCTTATCCTCTGATACTGCCATCACCCTAGTGCATGCTGTCATCACCTCAGTCTGGACTATTGCAATAGCCTGCTGGTGGGTCAGTCTGCTACAAGACTGTTCCTACTCCTTCCTCTGCTCAGCCACCCAAGTGACTTGCCTAAATCACTGATCTGACCACGTTACCCACATGCTCAATAGATGCCAGTGGTTCCCTATCACCTCCAGTATCAAATTTAAAATCCTTCCTTTGGTATGTAAAGCCCTTACATCTTACCCCCACCCATCCCCACAATACCTTTCCACACTTCTTACACCTTATTTTCCTCCATATATTCCTTAATGCATGAATATTAGCCCTCTTGCTCTTCCATGAATATGATATTCTATCTCTGGCCTTTTTTTCCTGACTGGCATCTATCAAGTCTCAGCTAAAATTCCACCTTCTGTAGGAATTCTTTCCCAATCCCTCTTAATTACAGTGTCTTCTTTCTGGCATTTATTTCCTATTTGTCCTGTATTATCTTGTTTGCATATAGTTATTTGCATGTTGCCTCTCTCTTTAAATTGTGAGCTACTTGAGGCTGAGTACCATATAGTTTGTCTTTCTTTGTACCCTCAATACTTAGCACAGTACCTGACACATAGCAGGTGCTTAATTAATGCTTACTGACTGACTCTAGTCATTTGGGGGTCACATTCCAAATCAGGAATACATTTTCAACAAAATACTATTAGCAAGCATGGTATATGATACACTTAAATTCAATTTCCCTGGAATATACTGGGAAAAAGTGATCAAATGTCAATATGAAACGAAAGATTGTCTCAGAAACACACAATACCCCCTGCACCTGTCTGTAATGTGTCTAGAATACTTTATAAAACTAAGTTATGAGGACAGTGTTACTTTTTGAGGACCTGGAGTCCGGAAGACCTGAGCTCAAATTTGGCCTCAGACATTTACTAGTTGTGTGATGCTGGGCAAGTCACTTAACCTCTGTCTGCTTCAGTTTCCTCATTTGTAAAAAGTAGATAATAATAGCACCTGTCTGAAAGGGTTATTGTGAGTATTAAGAGAGAAATATGTAAAGTGCTCTGAAAGTCTTAGAGCTCTACATAAAATATGTAAATGTTAGCTTTAGAATAGAATTTAGAAATTGGCTTTAGAATTTGGCACACTTTGGGTGCCCATCTTACCTCCAGCATGAACCTGAAAAAATCCCTTAACCATTCTGGGCCTCAGTTAAATCACCTATAAAAATGAAGGAGACGTGCTGGGGCCTCACTGATTCCCCTCTAGCTCTAAGTATATGAACCTATGATCTCTAAGGTTCTTTCTAATTCTAGATCCTATGAAATCTCAGATGCTTTATTGGTACCCCTGGATACTAAAACAATGAAAAGAAGGCCTCCTTTAGGGTACCCATTTCCGGATGATACATTTAGAAATCAGGAGAAGAGCTTTGCGTGGCCCCCCTGTGGACAACAATGGGAAAACATAAAAAGGAATTACATAATATGAAAAGGTATAGATGGGGACACTATCTGTGCTGTGGAAGGCATATCACACTGATGAAATCAGGATTCATGGATGTATCAAAATAATTTGAGAGACGGAAGAAAGATTATACTCTTGCCTTCTGATACAAATCACCCCTGGCAATTAAGAAGTAGCAAATGGTGGGAAGTTGTAGGTTATGATGCATCCAAAAATCTAGATGAGCTTTCTCGGTGGCCTTGTATCTGCTGCTCATAGAGCCTAAAAAGGCAGAGGTACATAATTTGGGACAAAAGTTCCAGGAAACATCATCACACATATGGTGATCCACCACTGAGGTGATAGCAAATTCCCTGGATGGCTTCATTACCATCAACTATCAATCTGCCCAACAGAGTGCTTCTTTCCAAGGTTCCTAGCTCCACTCACCTTGTAGTGGAAGAGAAACAATCCACAGAACAGGCTGTACAGGTCTGCAGTAAGGAGGTTGAGGTTGACAGATGTTGCACTGGTTTTCTTTATGACTACTGGCATGAAGCTGTACAGGCCAAACATGCAGGCGCTGAAGCCAACGTACAACAGCCCTGTGGGAGCAAACACAGGGCAGAATGAATGGACCATGGTACCCTCCCCAGGGTAGCAGTATTGTTCAGGAGGCATGAAAGGTGAAAGCCAATGAAGGAAAAACTCAAGACCTATTCTATCACCCCTAAAAAGAACTTTTTCTCTGCTGTTTCTCTCCTTCCTTTATTTTGTAGCACAGAGCCAAGACTGACTATTAAAATGGTTAATTTCTGAATGAGGACTTCTTTATTACTTCTAATAATAAATCATGTATATGTTTTTTTGCAGCCATTGAGAACACAAAGAAAAAAAAACAGTGTTTTCCCTCAGATTACATTTTTTACCAGAAAGACATGTACATATGAATATCTATATGAAGTAAATACATACATAAAAAATTTTTGAAGGATAGCACTAGAAGCAGAGGAATCAGAAAGGGCCTACGTAAAAGGTGGTGTTTGTGCTGAGTCCTGAAGGAACCTAGAGATTCTGAGAGAGTGGAGGAGGGAACACATTCCAGGCATGGGAGGACAACCTATGCAAAGTCATGGTGATAGAAGAAGGTGTGTTGGATTTGAGGAAAAGAAAGAATGGCTGTCTGATACCTGAAGAGGGGCTAGAGTCTAAGTCTGGAAGACAGGAAAACTTGGTTCAGGAGTCAGTATGGTATAGTGGAATGAACCCAGAGTGAAGGGTTCAAATCTTGGCTTTGCTACTCCCTGGCTGTGTGTGACCTCTAAGGTCATTTCCATCTCCATATCTAAGCTACTTTATTAAATCCCACCTCCTACACATGCTAACTATATAGCCATGTGAAAATCACAGCATTTCTCAGAACCTCAGTTTACTTATCTGTAAAATAGGAATAATAAAACCTATAGGACCTTTCTCACACAGTTTGTTGCAAGACATGAATTAAATGTTATATAAAGCACTTTATACCTTAAAATGTGATATATCAGTTATAAATCTAGTGTTTAGCATAGTGTCTAGCACATAGTAGGTACTTAATGTTTATTGTTTGAGTTATTAAAAAGCTAAATTATAGGCCAAGGCTCTTAGTTTTGCCACTTATAAATTTGTTTCTTTCTTGGTTCATGAGACTTTTCCTTTTCTCAGTTAACCTGTGAAATAAATATGGGACTGGTACCATGCATACCTAGCATACCATACCTAGCAGAAGCTAGGTATGAAAAGCAACATAATCTACAAAGACCAAATTCACTGAAACAATAGGTCTTGGGATTTACCAGAAACTTCCCATTTCTATATGAAAATAAATAATAAATCTTTTCCAATTATTGCATATCCTCCTTTGTCACAAGGATCAGTTAAAGGAATTGGGCAAGTTTAGTCTGGAGAAGAGAAGATTCTAGGGCAAAGTAACAGGTCCCTTCAAGTATTTAAAGGGTTGTCCTATGGAGAAGAGATTAGATTTGTTCTATTAGGCCCCAGAAGTCAGAACCAGGAGCAATGAGTGGCAGTCACAAAGAAACCAATTGAAGCATTATGTCAGAAAACAAACAAATGATAGCAACTTAACAATTACAGCTCTCCAAAAGTGAAATGAGATACCTTGAGAAATTGTGGGCTTCCATCCCTTCAATATTTTCAAGCAAAGTCTGTTTTGACTACTTTGACAGGTATGGTCTAATGGGGATTCCTTTCATGAATGGGATGGATCATATCACTGCTGGGGTCCCTTCCAATTCTTAAATTCTGTGATTCATTGAGTGAGCCCTGCTGGGTGATAGAGGTGATAAAGATGAAAAGAAACCTGCTTTAAAAATCCTTTAGGGGTCATTTTCTCATTCTATACAGCTCTATTGTATATCTGTAATTATACATATGGGTAGAAGGAGGAATAGCTACCATGAGAGCTGGACTGGTTCTTTTCCTTAAAAGTATTGAAACCCTCTTCAAAGTCTATTTGGCTTAGAGAACTAAAGGCTTAGACAACTGATGTTGCTTTTGGGTCACCTGAGTACAAAAAGTCATGACCTCTCTGATGCTTGAATAGCGGACCACCATGGGCAACATTTGAATCAGGAGAACTGTGCTCAACTAAGACATCAAGGTACCTCTGCTGAATATCCTTCTGATTATTATGGCTAAGTAAATCTCCTTTTATTCATTGTTAAATTCACTATTACTGTCTCATTTCATTCCCATCTCAAACCGACTACCAGAGGACTGGCCTGGTCAGCCCTAGTCTGAAACAATATACTAATGCTGTGGCTGCCCTATGTTGGGAAATTTGTGTCTTTGCATCAAAATTCAGATACCTGTTTATCATTCTCCACCTACTAATATTGATGCAAATAGCCAACAAATCCATTAAGAAAATACTCTCCTCTGTCTTCAAAGCATAAGAGATAATAAAATTCAGTAGGTCTGGAGACATGGGGATAGAATAAAGACAAATCAAATTTAACATTTCTAAATGAAAAATGTAAATGTTTCTGGTCTAGGACATAGTCAGATGGCTTAACCCAAATTCTCTGGGCTTCTGTGGCTCTAATAGGAGAAAAACAGTTTAAGCTACACTTAATATCTCTTTGACCACAAAGCCCCATGAGGCTTCCAAAGAAAAATGTGATTTATTCATAGGAGGAGTTTTTTTTTTTTTTTACACAGTATGAATCCTAAATACATTTTGGTCCCTTGATGAAATGCAAGTCACATGAGATCTATTGCTCCCTCTCCCCCCCCCCCCCGACCGCCAATGCTAATGGAGGAAAGCTCGAGCCAACAGCCCCCTCTAGTGTGGTGGAATCATGGGAGAGGAAGCTGGATTAGTCACAGATCTACTAATGGCAGCTGTCCTATAGTGCATGTTTCAGCTTTAATAATACCATATAGGCTTTTGGATCCTCCCTTAAGAATCCATATTCCCTAATAAAAAAAGTTGAAAATTATTTTCTTTGCCCTTGGATTTCATCCTTTTTATAATTTATTTGCCTTACTACCAGCTCATTAAAAATGTAAAAGTTAAAACCTTGCTTGGATGATCAATGTATAAATATGCATGGAAATGTATTTGGCTTCACCTTTGGAATTTCAGATGAACACTACAGGAAGACATTGCTTTTCTAATCTGAGCATTGGTGGGAGACAAGGTGCTCCCATGCTCATTCTTCCTGAGAATGGGTCTCTGCTTTCTCTGAGACACTGTTGGAGAGTCAAGAAAGGACTGCATGTTTATCCATCTATTCTCATGGTGCCTGGAACATTATGAACTCTCAATGAGTCTTTAACAAGGATGTGATAGCAACTTGCAGCTGTAATCAGGAAAAAGAACAAGGCAGAAAGATAAATATGCAATAATCTCTTTGCCATTACTGATCAGATACCTCAAACACCACCAAATCCATTTTCTTCTGCTATCCATTTTTCTGGACATTTTATACGATATGATAATCTGTTACAGAGCCTGAATGGTGGCATGGAGTGGTGAATAGAGAAGTGGTCTTGGAGTCAGAAAGACCAAGGTTCCAGTCTCACCTCTGATGTATACTGTCTGTGTGATCCCAGTCAAGTCACTTAACCTCTTTGTGCCACTAGGCAACTCCCTAAGACCATAAGTTGCAGAATAAGTACTGATCGGCATTGTCAAGGCCCAGCTTTTTATCCACTGCACCACCCAGCTGCCTTCAAGAGTATAAACTTTGGAGACAGTAGACCTGAGTTTGAATTTTGTCTCTGCCGCTTAATAACTCTGTGACCCTGGGCAAGCCTTTCAGGGCCTCAATTTCCTTATTTATACAATGAAAGGATTGGACTAGATGACTTTGAACTTCCCTTCCAGACCTAAAATTCTCTGAACTCAAGGGGGAACTATCTATAATGAATGTTTTCACATAAGCTATGTTCCATATTGTTCGTTACGTGGCAAAAGTCCATCAACTGACTGATGTTCATCAATATGTTACCTCTAGCATCTGTAATTTCATTGGAATTTATCTCATGCAGATCACATCCCCTCTATAGGATATCCCAAAAATCTTAGTGCAGTTTTAGGCTTTAATAGCTTAAATGGTCTTCAAGACTTGCTGTGACCAAAATATTCATTGGTATATGGGCCACAGGACAATCAGCCTCTCCAAATTTAGCCAGACTGGTGCTCAAATAGATGTTTGATCTAAAAACAGGCTTTTATCTGAAACCTTCCCAGCTTGGTAATACCTGCCAGAGCTTGGCTTGCCCTGGCATTACCTTCAGGGACTTAGGAACAGCTCCATACTATGGCATTTAAAGCAGAGTAAATACTGAGTTAGTGGCCACCAGGCAGGAGAGCTGTATTTATTTGACTCTCTTCATTAAGAGGAGTTTTTAAGGAATCAAAAATATTTTAAACCGTAAAACAAAGAGTGTAAATAAAAGCCCAGTCCGTCATTTTGTCAGATACAAAGTATATTGTTGGTGAGCCTTTAATGAGGATAGCATTCCATGAAAAAATAAATTATTCAGTTGTAAATAAAGGTTAACATAGCAACACCATATACTAATTTGTTCTTTCTTAGCCTGTCTAATATGCTATTTTGTGAACTTTTAAGCTTGTAGGCTCACAACTGAGCCTAAATTTTGTTAAATTTTTGATAGGGAGTAGAGACTAGGCAAGGAATTTCATCGGTACAAGGAACTTCCAGAATTGACAAAATTACTTCATCCAAACTAGATGGGCACCATAATTACAGTGTCAGTTAGTGACTTTCTTAAAGTGAACTGATGGGTTAAGTGACTTGCCCAGGTTCACACAGCCTTGTGGACAGCATTTGAAGCCAGCTTTTCCTGACTTTGATGCCAGCCTCCAACACAAAATTGGATTGCAAGATTTTTTGACTGTTTTGATAGTCATTATAATTAACTAGTTTTGTTCACAGGAAGACTTTGATCTCTGACCTTTTCCTAAACTGAGATGGTCCTCTTCTTGCAAATTTGAAATTTATTTATGCTTATTATTATTCGTAAACTTTTTCCATAAATAACCCCCATGACAAAGCTATTGCAAAATGGCCATTATGTTTAGGAAGTTGATCATTGCTAGAGGGAGCCTTGGCACTTCATTTTGCCTCTTGTTATACACTTGAATCCACACCTCTTCTCTGGAGGCATAAGATTAGTGTGGTAGATAGAGCATTGGACCTAGAATCAGTAAAACCTGGATTCATATCCTGCCTTTCATATTTGTTGTCTTAGTGACAATGGGCAAATCACTGATCTTTATCAGACCTTGAGTTTCTTTATTTGTAAAATCAAGATAATAATAACTGTAGGTAGAAATTCTTAATGTGTGTGCGTGTGTGTGTGTGTGTGTGTGTGTGTGCGTGTGTGTGCCCTAGACTCCATAGTGAAATCCATGGAACCCTTTTTCAGAATGTTTTTAATTACATAAAATAAGACATACATAGGATCACAATGGAAAAAATTATATTGAAATAGTTTATCTATATCTGGGTAGTTAGGTGGGACTGTGGATAGAGCACTGGGCTTAGAATCAGGAAGACTCATCTTCATGAGTTTAAATCTGGTTTCAGACACTTACTAGTTCTATGACTCTGGGCAAGTCACTTACCCTGTTTGGCTCAATTCCTTATCTGTAAAATGAACTAGAGAAGGAAATGGCAAACCAAACCAGTATTTTTGCCAAGAAAACCCCAAAATGGAGCCATGAAGAGTTGGACATGACAGAAACAACTAAACAACAAAATTTGTCTGTCTATGTTCATGGACTCCACGTTTAGATGTCCAGGATTTTTGAGCCCTCCAGGATTGTTGTGAGGTTTGGTCAATTATAGAGTCATAGATTTAGAGCTGAAAGGAACCTCAGAGGTCTAACTCTCTCATTTTACAGGTGGGGAAAATGATGCTGTGTGACATTAAGTGACCTACCCAAGGTTACACAGGGAGTAAAAATCAGAGATCAGATTAGAAATCTGAACCCTTGTTATTTCCACTATACTATTCTTCAAATGTCCAAGTACTATATAAATGTGAGTTATTATTAGAGTGGCCCACTGGTCTCACCTTCTCTTTTGAAGGGACTGGACATTTTAAAATTTGTTTTTGATTTTAAGAAAGCCAAAGCAAGAAGGTGTTGCTGAGAAACAGCTTTGATAGTGAATTGAGAACCTACCTTTTGCCTCACAGAGGCTGTGTGACCCTGGATAATTCATTTAACCCCTTAGTGCTCTGCACAATTCACTAAAATTATAAGTTGTAGAGCAGGTATCAAATTGCAATGGTAGAGGATGTTGCTTTGCCCATAAAATTATAGGCATGGAAAGAAAAAAAAAAGAAAGAAGGAAAGATAAAGACAGAAAGAAAGAAAGAAGGAAAAAGAAACCCTGACCTCTGAATGAGGTCATGATGACAAGCTGGCACAACTTGGAGAGTGAAAACTGTTAGAGAAGGCTCAGTTTGCTAAGTCATTTGGATGCTTTTGGCCTTTAAAAAACAAAACAAAAACAAACAGCCCACAAACCCAAGTAAGATGTGACATTTCAGACTTTCTCTAGCCAGGGGCACTTGGATTTTAGAATAGTTTAAAGTTAGTTTATGCATTCTTAACACAGTTACAGCAGATGTAGAGAGAGCTCATCGAGTTATTTATTAGTCTTCCTGCTGTGGCTAGAGCATGAAGATTTTGGAGAGGAAGTTTTCACTGTGGAGGATTGTAGGTTTTGCTTGGCTCAGTTAGCTAATCAGAACTGGTTCTATTGAGTAGAGAAAAGAACTCCTCTAACTTAACGCTTTCAAGTGATTGTCCTCTGCAGTTCGCTGATAGAATGGAAGAGAAAGGATAATGAAACAAATAGCAATTCATTAAATGACTTTCTGCCAAGGAGTTTAAAAAAATGATATTTATATTATCCCACTTAACCACTGTCCTTTTTTAGTTTTAAAAATATGTGAGGGGTGACAACATACATGTAAGATTTGAGGTGGGATTGGAAGTAGGGGGGAAGAGGGGAACAATTCAGAGGAGTGTTAGTGAGGAAAAGGAATTTGAAGTTTAGTCGACACACCCTGAAGAGGAAAGGAAGTGTGGAGAAAGGGAGGGAGAGGAAGAAGGAGGAGGAATAGGAAGAGGAGGAGAGACAGAGACAAAGACACAGACAGTTCTTTTGGGGCCCATCTCCAGTGCTACTTTCTAGGGAAGTTGTAGGTCCATTTCTACCCCCTCTGTTCCTCGTACAGTGGGACAGATGCTGCTACGGCACCTGCAGATGCCCAGGGGTGAAATTAAATATCTGACTTGTAGCTTCTTCCTCTGCCTCCCCAAATCTTTCTAGGAATTTGCTCATGAAATTCAAGAAGGGACATCAGTCTCCTTCCTTGACTGAAGAGCTGAGAAATTTGGTCAGGATGAAAATGATAGCTGATATTTATATAGTACTTTAAGGTTTGCAAAGATACACAAATTGTATCATAAATTGCTCTTTGTAACCATCACAATCACTCTGTAAGGTAGGTCCCAAAGGTATTAGCATTATTCTCATTTTAGAGATTGGGGAAACTGAATCTCAGGGAAGTTAAGTAATTTTATCTGTAGCCACAAAGCACATTTGCCATTAAATGTCAAAGAGGGGAGTTGCTTCCAAGTTTTCCTGACTCTGAGTCTAGTACTCTTCCCATTATACTAGACTACTTCTGTCCACTCTGAGAATGGTGAAAGAGTTAGATCTTGGAGTAAAAAAACAAACAACAAAACCCCCAAATGAAACAACAAACCTTCCACTAACCCACAACTTAAAGGGATCAGAAGCAAACAATGAACATTTTGTGTCTATTCCTGGTCAAATTGAGGACATTTTCAATCACTGTCCCTAAGCAGATTGCTCTATGATTAGCCTAACACATCTGATTGCCTTCCCACCTCCCCTGAGCATTTCTAACTACTCTGGTTTGACATTTTCGTGGCAGGATAAGAGCACAAAAATGGAACTCTTTTTTTAATGGTGCATTCAGCCAACCCTGAATTGAAAACTCCCATGGAAGCACATATGACATCTACATAATTAGCAGACACATTCTTTCTGATCATTATTATTACCATCAGTATCAAATTAATTCCTACTCATGGAATACTTGATTTGAGGGGTTACCAAGTGTTCAGAGCATTTTTCCACGGTTCTGAGATGATCAAAAGCAAATACATCCACAATCCACGGCTTGTACCTTTCTCAGCTCCAACCTACTCCCCCTCTATCCCCTTTTGGAAAAAAACCCCTCAAAACCCTGATTTTCATTTAATTGTAACACCTTGCTTCAAAACTTCAAAGAATGAAATAGTAAGGCTTTGTGGTCAACTGATAGGTCTGTGGGCTCCTGAAGACAATAGATGCAAACCCCAGAGGGATCCAGAAATAATAGAATAATTTAAGATATGTCTGCAAAGAGATTTCTGTAGTCAGCAGGTTGACCTTGGATGTAGGAGTTGGTGGTGGGAATGACAATGACAATGATGTACGTGAAGCATGGCTAGACAAGCCTTCTATACACCATTAGATCACAACTTACTTCTGGCAGGTGGACCCATGGTTAAAACATGGCAAAGAATTCCATCTAGCAATGGGGGCACACAATATCATGATCTGTTTGTGCAAGTATAAGGACCTCAGTAGCCTCCCTGCCCCACCACATAAAGAACCAGGAAAGCTAGAATTCCGAGACATCTCCTAAAGTAAGGCTTGTAGTAATGTCTGAAAGTCCCTAGGGAAGTCTGATTATCAATTAGCTGTCAATTTTCTAGGCATTCCACACATTCCCTGCTTTGACTCAACGAATCAGCATCAGTCCCAGAACCTTAATCTGCATACCAAGTGCAGACTCCTCACTGCTTTCCCCCAGTGATTGGTCTTGCTTGACTCAGATAAGAACCCTTCACTGGACTTTCCTGGTTTTTGGGGTACCTGATTCTACCAGGGATTCCAGAAGACCTGACTTGTTTCCATTCTGTTCCTTCTTATTCTGAGAATTTCCTTTCAATAAAAATGGTTTGTTTCATTTTCTCTTTGCTAGCTCCTATACTTCTCTCTTCATCGTACTGTACCTTGAGTTTTTAAACCTCAAATGCATTAAGACAGCATGTATAAGAACAGACACCAAGCGTACCATCCTACAGACTTCAAACCCTGAAATGTTGCTCCAATTTTAGCCAATTGGCTTAATGTATGAGGTTTATAAAATCACCTTGGATCATAAACTCATTTTCTAAATTGAAAAAGGAAAAAGGAATTTGAGAAACAAGTGAAGCCCAGGATGTGCAGAATGACTATAAACCAAGCTCAAAGCATGGCTGTTATTTTCCACCAAATCCATTTGAAAAGCAATTAACTAGTTTTGTGCAAACAGCTCCCATCAGAAAAGGAGTTTATGGCCTCAGAATGCCTTGACAGTCTGTTTTCTTTTATACTTTTTCTTAAGCCCCTTTATCTTTTCCCCTTCCCATATAAACTGTTAGTTCTTAATGACCACAGCAGTTTTCTCACTGTTGCAGCCATTTTCCTGGTCGTGCCAAATTGCCATCCTTTTTGTTCCTTCAAATTTAGGACCTGTTTCATTGCTATTTTAGGGGAGGGCTGGGGTTAAAATGGAGTGTTACCCAAAATCTTTTGGCTTCCAATCTAACGGTGGCCAGGTGTTGTCAGCGGGCAGGGAGCTCAATTAAGAAACATTAGGGAACATAAAATTCCAGTCTATGACACTTTGTAAGGGTCAAACTCTAAAGGTCTTTATTATTTTGTTACTCCTCCTGTTCCTTTATTCCTCACCACCACCATTATCTTCACTCCCACACAAACACAATCCCCTGCTTAAAGAAAATACCTATGGGTTCTTACTGGCAGGCTCTTCAATAAGGTCAACTATCTCCTTACCAATTTGCCAATCCCAGGGTACCTTCAAGAGCTCCTTGTGCTCCATTATAGCCCTAGAAGAGAGAAGAAGGTGAAGAGTAAGAAGAAGTAGGAACACAGCCGAATGTATTTTTGCCCTGATTCATCCAAATAACTGCCCATTCCTTGGATATCATTAAGAAGACTGTACAAAGTACATAAGGACAAGCCTATTTAGTCAGTTTGAGATTTACCTCTGAATAATTTTAGTCCACAGAGATGAGAGCATGTCATTTAGTCACTCATGCTTTGTAACGACTGAATGAAGCAAATTATCTATTCATTGTCTCCACTCCTCCTGCGGGCCCCCTCCAGTATAATTGGTTGAACTTTCTTTAAAAAATTATATTTTCAAAGCTCCTGAGCTTGAAGAGGCTAATCATGACTTTGTATGGGCAGTCTGTAGAGTATAGGAGTCAGGGGGATTGTGGGAAGATGGTGAAAAGATGCTAGGACATAGAAGAGTTCAGATGTTTCTTCCTCCCTCCTCCTCCCCAATACCTCAGAGGGGTTTATAATGTACTGTTACTTGAACTTGGCAAAAACAAAAAACACCCTATAATACTTTGATTATGTGAGCTCTAAACGATAGATACATTATACTGAAGGCTTACAAGTATCTAAATGGCACTGGGCATTCCTCAACTATAGCCCTAGCAAAATGCTATCTTTTATGACTCCTAAATGTAGAAAAGGGGTGGTTAACCTAATGACACACTTTGGCTCTCAATCTAATGGTGGCCAATCAGCAACAGTGAGAAGGAAGCTCAATTAGAGAACAGTAGGGAACCCAGAGTTCCAATCCCTGACAGCTCACATGAATCTCTCAAACCCCAGTGGTCTTTATTGTTTACTTTCCCTCTCCCCCCATTAGTCTTACACTTTTAATTTCACCCAAATACAGATGTTAGCTCCTTATTAATCTAAAATTGAATTCCTGTGTACTTAAAAAAAAGTCAGGAAAGTCAATTAGTTGCAATATGCTTGTTGTAAATAGTGGAAATGGGATACTTTTCCCACCTCCCTCCCCACTCTCTCGCACACAGACAGAGCACTAAATTTAGGTGGTGGTGTTCTTAAAAACCTATATCAAGCATAAAATGAACAAGGAAGCAAGAAATGTTTTCTAGCAGGGTCTTCTCTCTCCAGTGACCTGCCCATTCTGGATTTCTTTATTTATATTTCAAATTGGATAACTCTTGAGGAAAAAAAAACCGAGTATATCTTGTACATGTATTATCTTATTGTATATTCCCAGAATTGGAAGGGACCTCAGAGATCCAATTATTACTCAAAGCATGCATCAGCCCCTAACAAATATCACCTGTCAATATCTTGAGTATCTTGAATATTGAATATATTGTGAATATCTTGAAGATGATAATAATGTTTAGCATTTACATAGTGCTTTAAGATTTGTGAGTGCTTTACAAATATTAGGTAATTTGAACTTCACAACAATCTTGGGAGGTAGGGACCATCATTGTCTGCATTTTACAGATGAGAAAGATGAGGCAAAAATCAAGCGACTTGCCCAGCTAGTAAGTGTCTGAAACTAGATTTGAACTCAGATCTTCCTGATTCTATGTCCAGTGCTCCATCTACTATATTACCAGATTGCTAGTGACTATGGAGTAGGGGAAAAACACTACCTCTTAAAGCAGCTACTTCAATTTTAAAAGAACCCTAATACCAAGAAATGAGTTTGGAAGGTTATTGCAGGCACTGAACCAATGGAGCTATAACTTAATTGCTCAATACATATTCTAAAGAGCAGGTTAAGGTCTACATTACAGGGCTAGAATAATTCCAAAGTCATTCTTCACCATCCTAGCTAAAGGTTCCAGTCCTATTGATGAAGAATTGTGTTTTGCACATTAAAAAAAAAATCAGTCAACAAACTTTTTAAAGCACTTACTATGTGTCAGGACTTAGGCTATGTCCTAACAATGCAATGTCCTAACAACTCATTCCTGTTGTAAAGGAACTCACCTTATAATTAGCTGGGGGGGAGAGGGAAACAATACACAAATAACTATAACTATAACTGTAACTGTAACTATATATATATATGTATATATTTACTGAGCGGTGAAAATGGAAGGTCATCTTAAAGAAAAGGGGCTTGTGGTGGGGATAAGCTTCATACATAAGATGGGGTTTGAGCTGAATCTTTTTTTTTTTTTGCTTGTTGGTGAGGCAATTGGAGTTAAGTGACTTGCCCAGGGTCACACAGTAAGTGTCAAATGTCTGGTCTGAGACTGGATTTGAACTCAGGTCCTCCTGACTCCAGGGCCAACATTCTATCCACTGTGCCATCTAGTTGCCCCTTGAACTAAATCTTGAAGGAAGTCAGGGAAGTCAGGAGGGGATAATGAGGAAATAAAGAATTTCAGTTATGGGGGATAAAGCCTGGAGACAAGAAATGCTGTAGAGCGTTTTGTTTAAAAACTTCAAGCTTGAGGGGCTGGAACATAGAGTGTGTGTGGGAAAATTAAGTATATGAAGACTGGAAAGGCAGAAAGGGGGGGCAGCTAGGTGGCGCAGTGGATAGAGCACCGGCCCTGGAGTCAGGAAGACCTAAGTTCAAATCCTGTCTCAGACCAGACACTTGACACTTACTAGCTGTGTGACCCTGGGCAAGTCACTTTACCTCAATTGCCTCACAAAACAAAACAAAAAAAATCAAAGAAAGGTAGAAAAGGGACCGATTAGCAAGGGATTTAAATGCCAGACAAGTTTATATTTGGTCCTAGAGGCAATAGGGAGTTGCTGTGGGGGTGGGGTGGCATGTGGTAGCATGGTCAGATTCATGCTTTCTGCTTGGTAGCTGAGTGGAAGATGGATTGCAATGGAGAAAAACGAGACAGGGAAACAGGTTAGAAGACTATTACAGTAGTCCAGGTGAGAAACGGAGGGCCTGAAGTAGGGTAGTGCCTTTATGAATAGGACATGATTCAAGTGAAAATACAACCAGTACTGGAAAGAGTGACTGTAAATATGATGTCATCAGACCCCAGGAAATGCAAGAAGACCGGAGTTGGAAAGAAAAAAAGTATAAGATGAAAGTAGGTTTGTTCATTGTGTATAGGGCATTCCAGAGGACAAAAGAGGAAGAAGCAAGATGATCTTATGTAGGACATTTGGGGAAATGGTTGAGAAGGATAGAACTGAGGAAACAAACACCTGGAGGTAGGAAACAAGGTTTGTAGTTCCAGAGCCAGGAGTTCAGAATCAGCAGGAGAAAGAGAGTATGAGGGAATTCATACATGCTTACCCTTGAAGAAAGAGTCAAGACAGAATTACGATGGTCGGAGAGAAGCCCCACCTAAGAGAGGCAGGTGATTAGGCTGTTCAAGGTTGCCCTTCAAGGTCCAACCTCATGGCAGTAAGTGATGTTATGTCTTAGAAGCTTCAGGAGGTCAGCCTCATAACAGGCAGGAGCAGGTGGAGATATGGCTCTGGAGAAGCAGGTCAGGAGGCAGGAGTTGACAGGGAGAAATGAATCTGGCTTAAGGGATGGCCTCTGGAATACTGCAGAAGGCCCTAGAATGCAATGGTCTAAATAGGCCTTGACACAACATCCTCTGGGAAATGACCTGTATTTTTTGGTTAGTCTCCTTGAATCACGTCTTTCACTATTTTAGTCCATCTTTTACTCAGGTGCTAAAACCATCTTCTGAAAGTCCAGGTCACTTCCTTATTCAAACTCCAGTGACTCCCTTCAGGATCAAATAAAAAATTCTCCATTGGAATTTAGAGCCCTTAACAACCTGGTTTTTTCTAGTCTTTTTATACTTTATTCTCCTCTAGGTATTCTACAACCCAGTGATACCCAGCCTTCTTGCTGTTCCTTGCATCTGACAATCCATCTCTCAGCTTTGTACTATTGCATTGGCTTTCCCTCCCCCTATGCCTGAAATGCTTCCCTTCCTCTCTTCTGCCTCCTCTTATTCCATCTTCTGAAGAAGGCCTACCCTGGTCTCTCCCATTCCCAACTCACTACTAATGCCTTCCCTCAGAAATAACTTCCCATTGTATGTATCTCCTATGTGCCCAGTTACTTGTGTGTAACTTCTTTAGAATGGAATCTCCTGAAAGGCATTTTCCCCCTATCCCAAGTGCTTAGTTACATAGGTTTCTATATGCATAAATAAAAAATATGTAGAATTGATACAAAAAAATTTATGCAGGGGGGGTGATGGAAAACATTATCATCTGAGGAGATCAGGAAAGACTCTGGGTAGAAGGGGATATTTAAATTTCTTCTTAAAGGAAACTAGGAATTCTAAAAGGTCGGGCTGACTTATAGGCTGGAAAAGAGAGCCCTTGTGGAAACGCATGGGTAAAAGAGATGGACTATAAGGGAAAAATGCAAAATCAAGTGAAGTTGGAGCATAGTGTACGCGAAGGAGGATAATGTGTAATAAGGTTGGAATAGCAGATTGGTACCAGGTTATGAGGGCTTTAAAGGCCAAGCTGAGGATCATATTTGGTACTTGAAGTGATAGGGAGCCAATGAAGTTTATTGAATAGGAGAGTGACACGGTCAGACCTGTACTTCAGGAAAATCGTGTTGATAGCTATTTGAAAGATGAATTGGAGAGAGACCAGAGGCAATTCAAAGGCTATTTCAGTAGTTCAGGAAAATGTCAATAAGGACTTGAACAAGGGTGGTAACTGTATGAATGGAGAGAGGGGGTGGACATGAGAGATATTGTGGAAGGAGAAGTGATAGGATTTGGTAACTGATTAGACACATGGAGTGACTTAAGAAATGAGGAGTTAAGGATGATACTGCTGTAAATCTGAGGATTAGAAGGATGGTGACGCTCTTGATAGTAATAGTGAAATTCTCAAGTGGAGTGGGTTTTTGGTGAAAGGTAATGAGTACTGTTTTGGATATTCTGAATTTGAAATGCCTATGGAATATCCTATTGGAAATGACCAATAGGCAGTTGGTGATGCAGGATGAGTTCAGTAAAGAAAGTCAGTCTGGATATGCAGTACTGGGGATCATCAGCATAGAGATGAAGATTAAACCCATGTAAACTGATGAGGTCACCAAGAGTATAGAGAGAGAAGTGGGCCCAAGAAAAATGGATAATTTCTAAAAAAGAAAAATAATATGCATATATTTCATCATGGTAAATCGCTGCTCTAAAGCAACATACACATGAACGGCTATTTAATTTTAAACAGTAGATAGCTATCTAATTTTAACTAAAATTATACCATACCTTGGCACATAGCAAACACTCAATAAATGCTCTTTGAATTGAGAAAAGCACTCTAGGCAGTGGATTACTTTCTTGATCATATGAGCTAAGAACAGAATTCTTATGCCTCAAGAGTTATACTGTTCAGTACAGGTAAGGCCTTGTCACCTTGTCAAGTGCATCGGGTCATGTCATTTCCATTTATTCCTTACAATGCACTAAATACCACCCTACTGGTCTGAAAAATCTGATGTACTTCTACTTGTCTCCTAGAAAATTTGATTCCAGTCTATTGCAAGTTAAATACAAAGGAACTAACATTTTAGATTGAAAGGAAGACTTTCCTTACAATTAGAGCTGTAACAATATGGAATGCCTGCCCAGTGAGGTAGTGGGTTCCTTTTACTGGAGGAGTTTAAGTGGAAGTTGAAAGGCTACTTGTCAGGATGTTGTAATGAGGGTTCTTGCATCAGGTGGTGGCCAATTGGATGGCCTCTGAGTCTCTTCTGGTTCTAAGACTCTGCATTTTATGAAAGTGCTGATTGCTAATTTTCAGACTTGAAAAGAGGCATGAGTGATAGGGACCCATTAGTGCTGATTTTCACAAGAAGTGACCAGATTCATTCAATATAAGAAATAAGGGGTGGAGATAGAAAAGCCAGAGAATTGATCAGTGATTTGTACTCTCTAAAATGCTTTTTCTTTCTACTCACAGCTGAATTCCACTGAAGAAGGCACCAAAGAGTCCAATCATTCCTAGAAATTCAACCCGGCTCAATGTTCGGATGATGTATTCTTCCCACACGTTCGAGATGCCATAGAGTGTGGCTCCTCCTAGGACCAAGAGGTCTCCTATCAGCTTATTTTCTCCTGGAAACCAAAAACATATAGCATCACATGAGATTATCCATGAAGGGAACCCTCCTCTACACAGTAAACTGAAAGGTTCTTGCATTCACCTCAGAGACCATCAAGCCCAGTGATATCCAATTCAACTAGAAACAGGGGCTACTAATCCATACATAAGGATTCCTGTGGGCCACACATTGACTTAGTTTTAAAATGTAATGTTATCTGTGTTTTATCATATTTTTATTTATTTTGTTAAGTATTTCCCAATGCCATTTTAATCTTGGTTGTGCTGTTCTTGGGAGTGTTGTAGACTTCATGTGCCCTCAGATGACATGTTTGGCACCTCAGAACTAGCCAACCCTCTCCTTTTGCTTGTGAGGAAACTGAGGTACAAATCAGTTAAGTTATTTGCCCAAGTTCGTGTGGAATTAAATGACAGAACAGTTCATCCAACCTCAAACCCAGCACTCTTTCCATTATTCTTGCGACTGTAATATCCTCTGAGGGCAAAGCCTTTACCTAAATGAAATAAATGATATCACCTTTCATAGCCCACTCATTTAGAAGCCTTTCTTAAATCAGGGGCAAATGCCTCATATCCATCTATTCACACATGCATAGGACACGCCTACTTCAGTGTACCTCAACAATTCTCTGTGCACATGGGACAAACAAATGCTACATGGACTTGCCTGAGGGACAAGGCCCTTGAGATTGATCTTATTAGCCCTGGATTTCATCCCCTGCCATAGTAAGGTGAAAACAAAGCAACCAACAACTAGGAATTTAATAGTGGGCAAAAATGTGCACTTTCTAAAGAAATGAGAACCAAAGAAACTATAGGTTGAAATTCTCAAGTTCTTGCCTTTTCAGTTTAATATATATGTTATAATAGGAAAAATAAATGCAATTTACTGAAAGACTGATATTTTCTGTCTGTTACAGAAAAAGTATGCTGTAAATCTTACATGGTTTTTTGTTTGAATCTAATATTTCAACAAGTTTCTCATATAAACATTAGCCATAATTAGTTCAATTTTCTTGTTGAGTATAGTAGGATGTGCAATGAATGAGGGAAGAGAAGGAAAATGGGCTTCCATGACTACATCCTGGCTTAGCCAGGGAGGAATTTTTGGTCTTGTCCCACTGAGTACAGGTCCCAGAGACACACCAACATGCATAAATGGATTTGTTGTTGTCAGTAGTTTCAGCTGTGTCTGGCTCTTTGTGACACCGTGTGGTAATTTTTTTTGGCAAAGATACCGGAGTGTTTTGTCATTTCCTCCTTCAGCCCATTTTACAGATGAGGAATTGAGGCAAACAGGGTTAAGTGACTTGCCCAAGGTCACACAGCTAGAAAATGTCTGAGGCCAGATTTGAACCCACCAAGATGAGTCTTCCAGGTCTGGTACTCTTTCCACTGTGCCATCTACTTGCCTCTAATAAATGGATGTATATCTCTGAAAGAGAGTATGGGCTGAAAGGTCTATAAAGGTAGACAGGGCAACTTTACCTATGAAAAAATAGCCAGTTGAGATGAGCTTTAAAGGAAGCTATGGATTCTAAAAAGCAGAGCATAAGAGGGAAACTGGTTTCTTGGAAGCTTGGTAACTTTGGTGTCTCAGGGTTTCTTTGCTTGCTTCCTTCCTCCTTCCCATTCTTTGTTCCTCCCCTCCCCTCTCTCCCTTCCTTTCCTTTTTTTCCTTTTTCCCTTTCTCCTTTCTTTCTTTCTCTCTCTCTCTTTCTTCTCTTCCTTCCTCCTCTCATCCCTTCCCTTCCTTCCTTATTAAGTACCTGTTGCATAAAACCTACTATACTAGGAAAGAGAGAAACAAATATAACAAGACCTGGTTCCTTGAGGAAACAAACAGCTAGGTGCCCAGTGCATAGAGTGCTGGACTGGGGAAAACCTGAGCTTGAGTCTTCCCTTAGATACTAGCTGTGTGACCCTGGACAAGTCATTTAACCTCTCTGCTCTCAGTTTCCTCCTCTGTAAAATGGAGATAATAAAAATAGCACCTATTTTTCAGAGTTGTTGTGAGGATCAAATGAGATACCATAAATAAAGTGCTTTGAAAACTTTCAAACACTATCTTTTTTTTTTTTTTTTCCGCTGAGGCATCTAGGTAGCACAGTAGATACAGTGCTGGACCTAAAGTTAGGAAGACCTGAGTTAAAATGCTGTCTTAGACACTTACTTGCTGTGTGACCCTGGGAAAATAATTTAACCTCTCTTGGTCTCAGTTTCCCCATCTGGAATGGGGATAAGAATACTACCTACCTCACAGAGCTGTTATGAGGATAAGATGAGATAATATTTGTAAAGCACTACGAATTTTAAAATGGCACATAGATGCTAATTACTATTATTAATGTAATGCAAATTAGAATCTGAAAAGTATACAAGTACATGCTCAAATGTAGTTGATGTTGGGTGGGGAGGAGGAAAGCTATGCTTCTTTTTTTGTCCACTGGGCAGTATTCTTTCCTTTTTTTTTTTTTTACTTGCTTTTTGGTGAGGCGATCAGGGTTAAGTGACTTGCCCAGAGTCACACAACTAGTAAATATCAAGTGTCTGAGGCCTGATTTGAACTCGGGTCTTCCTGATTCCAAGGCTGGAGCTCTATCTACTGTGCCACCTAGCTGCCCCAAACTAACCCACTGGGCAATATTAAGAAGCCATTCTCTAGGAAACTGTGATCTGGTCAACATGGCCTTCTTGTTCTACCTCACATTCAATGTTACATCCCCCATCTTTCTTCATGCCTGGGAATGTGCTCCCTCGTATGACCTGCTATTTAGGAAGCATGGCTTCCTTTAAAGCTCATCTCAACCAGCCGTAAGACCCTTCCTGATCCTCCCAGCAGCTAGTAGCTCCCCACCCAAATTACCTTGGGAGGTACACCCATCCTAGAACGCACAGCAGTGGATGTCTTGGAACAGAGACTCCCTGAAGACAATGTTTGAAGGTGGCTGGAATTGGTTCTTAGGAAGGGCTGGGAAAGAGGAAGCTGTACTCTAGGGTGAAAAGGTGGATCACTTCCATCCTGAGGTATGGCACACTTTGCAGAATCAAGCACTCAGCTTGGGATCTGGGCTTTTCTGCTCTTCTCTTCAAACACTGAGAAAAGCTTCAGTGGAGAACAGTGGCTCATACCGGTAAGCACTGAGCCTAGCCAGCCAGCCCAGGTGGGGAGAGATGACCCCTGCTGCCCCTCAACACAATTTTCTCCTCCCATGGCTCTGAGCCAAGGAGAAAGCAGCTGTCCTTAATTGCCCCACACATTGGTCAGCCTTCTTTTTCTTTGTAAGCAGGTGTTAGCACAGGAAAGCCCTGGCTCCTTGGTTCCTGCTCTGCAGCAGTTGGCTGACCTAGTCAACTGAACCTAGTTTTAAACCTAAAACAGCACTAAGACTTCTGGAACACCCTGTATTTTGTATATGCTTCCATATTTATAGGTTGTTTCCTCTAATAGAATATAAACTCCTGGTGGGCGGTGGCTGTGCCATTTTTGTCTTTGTATTCCCAGATCCTAGTCAAATGCCTGCCACATAGAAAGTACTTAGTACTCATTGATTACATACACTTCCCAATATACCTGCTTACTTTATTTTGTGAGGAACTAAGATAAGAAGGTTCTTTTTTTTTTAAGAAATAGACCAGGATCATACATCAAAATGAATGTTGATTTCCTCAAAGTAGTCACTTGGGAAACTATACTGTATAACAATTTTGAGTGCAATACGAATCTGGGCATTTTTTTTTTGGAATTGCCTTCAGAGATTGCATCCCAGTCTCTTGATCATCTGTAGTTGTGGTAAACCTTGGTTTTTTGAGATTGGATTAGGTTTTTGGAAACAGTTAAAATCCATTTTTGTCAGTATTGGGAATTAGTGGTTGGCAGGACTGGCTAGACAGGAGCTGTCTGGGAACTGGAAACTAGACAGTCTTGCTAAGTTGAGACAGGAAATTGGGGCAGGTCTCAGCAGCAAGTAGAGGAAGGAAGTTAAGACAGGTAGGTGGGTGGGCTCAGAAATATTCTCTGTTATCTGGAGAATGGTTGGAATTCCCAGCAGTTTGGTGGTACAGATGGCAGCAGGGGTTTGGCAGCAAACAAGAGGTAGTGGTCCAGGTAGGCAGATGGTTATCCCTGGGGAGATCTGGCAGTTATATAAATAGAAATTCCAGGAGAAAGGCAGAGCATGCAATCAGAGCAGCAGGCCACAAACAGTATTCTCAGCAGGCAGGTAGCCTTTCCATTCCTGTGGCCCCTCTCCATCCCCTTGATATTCTTGCATAACTTATAAATGGGCTTGGCAGACAGTTCTGAAAGAACTCCATGCCTGTTCTGAGCACTGGCAACATCATAGAAATAAGGCTCAAGGGATCATTTTGAAGAACATTTTGGACAATCTGAAGGACAATTTGATATAGAATTCTGTGATTTCTGGCTCTTGTGATTCTCTCTGCTGGTCCAGAAGGTCATGCTTTTAAGAACGTATATACAAATAGTCCTTAAGAAGAGGCAGTGCTGCAATGTCCAGGCCTTGGGATGTCTGATGTAATCTCATGTATGTTAGCTAACTTTTTTTTGCCTTTAGCTATAAAATAATGATGTTTGGCAAATTCAAAGAATTCATTATATTGTGTAGAAAAGTTAAATTATCATGCATGTTTATTTTTTTATAGCTTGGGGGTTCTAATCTTTTCTTTTAAAAATTCTAAAAACAGATCATATGGTTTCACTGACCTTTTATTTATTTTAATGCTCAAATTTGAAAAAGGCACAGTGAACTCTCTTCTAGGAATTCTATTAACTGAAAACTCTAGTAATCAGCACTTTATTAATACAAAGATAATTGAAGTTCATAGTAATGATCTCATGTCCTTGAAAGATCCTGAAATGTCTTCTGGCTCATCAAAAATTAAATTGTTTTCAAGAGTAGCTGTTTGTTGTGCATTTTATTAAATTTGAATTCTTTGAAAATTAATGATCCTCCTGTAATGTATATGACAG